CCAGACTACTCGGCACGCTGAGCAGCGCAGTCTTGGAGCCTTCGCGGCCTTCCTAGTCTTCCTTTGCCTTCCTTTCCGGCCCTGATCCTGCATCCAGGCTCCGCTGCTAGTGCTCTAGCGGCCCTGGGGCTCCCTGGGGCGTCAATCATTGATCCTGCTCCAGCACGCCCAGCGTCGGTCTGTGCTGCGGTTGCGCCAGCGCCCAGGCTGACCAGGCTTGCGGCTAGGCTGGGCGAGGCGCGGCGTCTGGAGAGCCCCGTGTGCTCCGTGTGCCCCGTGTGCGCGTGTGCATCAGCAATCTATTTGCCTCCTCCATTTTCTTGCATTCAGCCGTGTCGCGTCGCCTTCTGCCTTGGCCACCAGTGGCAAGGTGGCTTACACACCCCATATCACCCGCAGTGACCATGCTTGGCCTGGCGCGCTGGTGTAATTCTGGTAACCAGGGTCATGGCTGCTGCCCCTTTTGCATTCCCTGTCCCAGAACAACGCACTCTAATGCACTCGCTCGTCTTGTGCCCTTGCTTCCGACGTGGGCCATCAGAGCACAGCTGTGCCCATTCCCTCAGCTCTGGACGGGGCTCAATTATGCCTGTCTTTCCCTGACCAGGCCTGAACAGGAACCGCAAGGAACTGAAAGGCGGGACCCTGTTCTGACCCTGTGCAGATCTGAGACATTATTCATCACTGCCCAATTTGCTCTTTTATCACTCGCGCGGCCGAGCCCACGAACGTCTTGGACGCTAAACAACGCCGCTTGTCGCACTCAGCTTTGCGCTCTCTCTGATCTCTGACTTGGCCATTGAGCCATTCAAGGAATACGCAGAAATCCCACAGACAGCATCGAATGGGAAGAGCAAAGGGAGTAGGAAATCGCTTCCGACGTTCCGGACCCGGGACGCATGCGATTCCCTGGAACAAGCGATTCAGAAAGGCTGAGAAGGGCTGAGGGCCGGGGGCGCATGTGACCATGACTCTTCTTTGTGTGCCTTTCGTCGTTGGTAAAATGAGAAATGAGGAAATAATGAGCGCAAGTACGTAGCCCCGCGCTTCTGCGCGTGTGCCGCGTTTGGGCGTGCTAGCGTTGCTACCCGTCTGGCGAATCTGAGGGCAGATAGCACAAGATGGCTGCGAGAAAATGCCGCATCCGATGACAGAGGCCAAGAACAGGAATCTGATCACAAAGGCCCGAATCGAACCTATCTCCAGCTCTCCAGGGGCAGTGAAGGGCCGGAATCACCCACTAACCTGGGCTTAGCGGTGATCGGATGATTTCTCATCGAGTAGTGGCATCTGTAGTGCGTACAACTGCGGGAGCTAGCAGGTAATGCAAGGTTAATGATCACGATCAGTCGTATGGGCCGTATGGTACCGGTCCTACAGTACCCAGAGATGCAGAGCTAACTCCGGGCCTTCCGGGCCGATCGTCAGGTAACTAGTAGTTCAGGTCAGAACGTTCCAGCACTCGCTTGCACATCTGTACTCCTTATCCCGCAGCAAATCTGGACCAGTGACTATCCCCCATTCCATCGCTTACAGCTTTACAGGTCGTTTGCAGGAATAGGAACGCAAAGACGTAGGGACGAAAGGGATTATGCCGCGCACCGCGGCTGGTGGCGAAAAGCATAGAGGGACGAAGGGACGAGGCACAGGATCAAGGGCCAGGGGGCACGAGAGGGCCGCCGGTGATCGGCCATCTTCTGCTGGCTGAGCTGGCTGGCTGAGCTGGCTGCTGGCTTGCGGCTTGCTCGGGGACACTCGCGCTCGGACCACCCCGCCGAGCCTTTCCAGTGCGCTGATGGTTAAGCTTTCTTGATCTGCGCGCTCGGACTTGTGCGCCGTGATCAGCGATCCGTGCGATGCTGTCACCGCTGACGTATTGGCGTGTGGGCGCACGGCTCGTGCGACTTGGAGCGGCGGTGCTGACGTGAGAGTATGTGTGTGTGTGGTTCATGGTTCAGCCGTCGCACACACACGGTGAACGCCGAGAATCGGTAGAACGTGACCATAGCAACAGGTTTTCCCACTCCACCGGCCAGTGCTGGTGCCCCGGCGTCGTAACTCCTGGTCGTGCGAGCCGGAGTCCGGTGTTCGGCGTTGACCTTGCGTTTCTGTGGGCTGTGTGTCAGCACGAAACAGGACGGAAGCGTGTGGCTGGGTGTGGTGTGGGTCGCCACTCGTATCCGGATCACAGGTTACGGGTCACGGATCACGGATCACGAGCGAGGAATGTCTCTGTCCCAGAACTCGGGAATGGCCCATTGTGCTGGCAGCCAAGGCAAGCCAGCTTAGCCAATGAGTCTCGGACCATTGCCCATCTAACCATCTGACCGTCCAGGCTTCGATTGTTGGATCTGGCGAATCTGGGGTTTATCTGGGGAGGGGATCGAGGGGATCTGGGGCCACAGCCTTGGGTGTGTGGCACTTGGTGGGAGACGCTGCGGGAGGCGCGTTTCAGCTCCAATTACTGCAAGGCTGCTCCAGTGCTCCAGCGCAACCCAGCGCTTGGCTCCAATATGCACAGTCGCTTAGAACCATGGAAGACAACGATCGCGAGCCATGACTGCCATGGCTGTGGGTGGGAATCGTGGCTGCGTCGAGCAGTTCTCGGAACGTCGACGAACGCACCAGAAGCTGTTCCAGTCTCGGACCGGTGCTAGGCGCTAAGGTACTCCTGATGCTCCTGAGGCTGCGCGGGCTGCGGTCCATCACTTCCATTGCATCACGAGACCCAGACCAAGCCGCAGCAGAAGGTATGTGCTTATCACTGGTGACTGCCCACTACGCCTGCTACGCAGGCTCGCACATGCCCGACGTGACGACGCGCAGCTGCGGTGCGGGCATTAGTGTCTCCACGCTCTAGCCACGCTTAGCCACGCTCCAAGCTGTGTCCTCGTCAGACAGGACTTGTCAAACACGACTCCATCGACTCCACTGCACTCCAACGATACAAGCTTTGCGCGGCTCAGACATGGCTTCGACCTGCGGCTCCCTAGACATGGAGACATGGAGGATGCACGAACATGATAGGGGAGTACGCACTCCCCACTCCCCCCGTTCCTGTCCCAAGGTTTGCGGGGCAGGCACGCTCCGCTGGAATCCGGGTGCCTCTGGCTGCCTGCTGTTATTCGGCCAAGTGCGTTCCAGCAGCTGCCCTGCCCGCAGACGTGTAGAACCTGGCTGCCCGCAGAAAATACGTCACGAGACCTTCTCAACGCAGGCCGCAGAGTCACAGCATGTGGAACACCTCACGAGTCTCACGAGCTCAGGCCGTTGTGTGTGTGCTTTTCCTTGCCCCACTATGGCTCATGGATTCGCTGCGGGGAAAGTGGGAGGTGACAAGTAAAGGAAAAGTATGCATGCCTCAGAACAGACTTCCGATCCCTTCGACCCCACGATTGAAGGTGGGGTTGGGCAGATGCCTGTCAGGAGGATAGACGGAGTGGGCCGGGACGGCTGGTGCAGGAGCGTGCAATGTGGGAGAGTGTGCACCGTTCCGACTGGACGTGCGATCGGCTGCATCGCTTGCGTCTCCTATCTGTGGCGAACGAAGATGAGATCGCTATCAGTCTATTCCGGTCCCCCGCATCGCGATCGCACATCGCCAGTGGGCAGTGGGCCGAGAGAGGGCAAAGTCGGTCCGCGGTGCGGCCTTCGCAGCGGGACCAAGAGCTGCAGCCGCATGCCTCTGACATGTCTCACAGGCCAATTAATGGCCATGCGCCATCTCGTACCTCGTGTCTCAGCAGAATGGATGACAAGTACTGCTGGAATCTGGGCAATCTGGACTTATCTGGACTATTATGGGCAATCTCCGCAACGCAACTCTGGGGCGATGTGGGGGTGTTTGGCGGAATTGTGGAATCGGTTGATGAAATCTGGAATCTGGGCCCAAAACGATGATGCTGAATTGACGGCGCTCGGCGGCGTTTTGGCTGCGGTGCTGGTATGCTGGGCACGATACGTCGAACACTGGCACACTGGCGTGTGCATTGCCCAAGCTGAGCTATGCGGTGCGTGCGGTGGTAGCGGTCGTTAATCTAGGTTGCGGGCGGCAATTGACTGGCGCTCTGCCACGCGCTGCCACCAGGTATCACGCTGACCTGTGTTAATTGATTACCTGACACGCGGTGCCTCGATGCCTGTGGCCTGGACTTGCAGGTCTTCACAACTTCACAGTTGCTTTCCCCTGCCTCGTCGTCATTTCTGCGATGACAGTAGGGTTCGCCACTTGAGCAAGGCGTCTCGTGATACCCTCGCGGTCAAGTGATCACACCTTTGCGGTCCCTAGCACAAGCCCTGCGCAAGCCCATGGCGCCGGCTTCCCAGTCTTCTGGGTTGGCGTAGGTTGATCTATCGGATGGGCTGTGATGATCCCCCTTAATGCACCCTTTCAGGTATCTCTTGGTTTGTTTGGCTCCAGCGCCTAACAATCCTACGAGGCAAGTCGTTTCGTTTGGCTGACGCATGACGCACCGCATCAGCTTGATCTGGCTTGCCTGGCGCCAGCCTCACAGGTCCTCGAGGCGCCACAAGCCGCCACAACCCTTTGCGTGATCCTTCGCGTCCGTCCTTCGTCCGTCGCGTCCCCCATTTGCGCAGTTGTTGCTCTCATGCTCCGGATGCGGGACAGTCGGAGCTCGCGGGGGTCGGACCGTGGGGTTGTCGCCGTCGCGTCATCCCCTCGCCACTTCCCTTCGCCACTGCCCTTCACTGCGCAGCGCCATGATGAGCGCGGCGTTCGCCACCCTTCACAGCCAAACAGAGCGCCAAAAGCAAAAGCCCAAAGCGAAAGCCAAAGCGCCGGCATTCAGCACGAGCATCCGCATTCAGCACGAGCAATATGGCTCATATGACCTTGTCGCCACTGAGCCTCTGCACGAGCATGCCTTCTGAGCGGCAAAACATCGAGCAAGAGTGTACTTCAGCCGAAAGCGGAAGCCACTGCACGAGCACCGACATTCAGCACAGTCTCCGCGGTCACCAGGGCGGCGAGCACGGGCTGCACGGTCAGCACACCCCATCATCAACAGTTCACCGGCGGTAGGTCGTGTATTCAGCACGAGCTCCCGTTAGCAGCCGCATGAAAGTGGACCCCGTGCTCAGCCATGCGAGCATTGCACGGCGCCACTGCCATCAACGTCAGCGGCGAGCAACCAGCCCCGGAAGCCCCGGCGCGCGCCGCATACCACGGACGCCGACGCGGTTCATCCGCACCCAAATGTGTGCATCAAGACGACCGCGTGCTGACGCAATCGGCTTGGAGCGGCTTGGCGCAGTGCTCTCGGCGTTCATAGGGGCCACACAGGCGTTTTCACAGGCGTCTTTGCAGGCGGCGTGGTGATCAAGCCCTCCAGCCGGCCGGGAACCAAGGCTCGATTACGATCCCGGGATACTGGATCCATCAAACTTGCTTCGCGTGGCGTCGTTGACGTCGACGGCTGACCAAGCCGTAGTAGACGGCGCATGCTGACCAACTCTCATCCATCCGACGTCCCAAAAGCCAGCGAGCGCCACGATAAAGTTTGCGAAACGCACGGTCCCAACACCCCCGTAACCTTAAGAAACTGGAGCCTTCAGCCCAGTCTCACTTGTAAGCTTTCGCTTTGCCCACGCTTGCCCATCTCGTATTTCAGCCTTGGGCTTGAGATTAGTAATGACCAACCCAACTGATGAGTCTGCGTGGTTGAAAACGTGAGAACCTGCGGGCCTGGGGTGTCTGTAGGATGGGACAGTGGGCGACGGCGACGACGATGGCGTTTTGGGCCAGGTGTGGCCAGAAACGCAGAATGACAAGAAGGCTGGGCCCCTCTGCCTTGGGTGAGACTCGTGAGACTCGTGAGAAAGGAAGGCTGACAGAATACGACAACTGACAGTAAATAGGTCAGAATCGACGGAACAGAAATGGGCACTTGGGCAGCATGGGCAAGGGCTCAGCATAATTGAGCACAACGACCAAGTTCAAATGAAAGAATAGGTCCAGATGAGTCAATGCAAAACAGCACCAGCTGGAACAAGAGGGAGGATGCACGGAATGTCGGAAGCATTGCAGAATGGGCAGACTCTCGACACTGAATGACCCGCAAATGGTGAATGCAGCACATGGTCAACATGGACTGGCCGCGACTTGCCGCACCAAGGATCTCTCTCTTTCTCCGATCCCGGTGAACGCTCGCTGGTGGATATTCCTCGGTTCTTGCGAAGAAGTGCTGGACGTTCATTGCTAAAGTGTTGAATGGAGGTGCAATTCTTCCACATGCCACGAGCATGTCACCACGCGGTTCGTCTCTGGTTGTTGCAAGGTGCATTCCCAGCCCCGTGCAGCGACGCGAGCGCCGCACTCTCGCTAACGAATCGATTGAGGCCCGCTAAGCATACGCCGTATACGCCGTATACGCCGTATTCGCCGGCGTACGAGGCGTTTGGTGGTTGGCGTCCGGGAAGACGGAGCATTCCGCGACCTCACAGGCGTCCAGGAGTTCAGTGGCAGTGGCACCTCCTTCCCGAACTTCGGCGCCTCGCTATCCCTTTTGCTGGCTTTGCTGGATACCTGAGTACATGCTCGGGGTGTTCTGTCAGTGCTCCATGCTCCAGGGATTCCAGTACGCCGGCGGCACAGTAGCTGGCTGGCCTCAAAGCCATCGCGAGGGGCGAGGGCGTGGGTGAGGGGATGTGCAGCGGCGATCCCCATGATCTATCTGCCCTAGGGTCCCGAGCTCACTTCTGCCGCTCTCGCTCTCCCCTCCGATCGCCCTCGCCGCCCTCGCCTTTCCTCCGTTTCCTCCGATAGCAACAGGTGCGAACGCCGTCATGAGCACGGAATACTCACAGATCAGCCGTGTTTGCCGAGTAAATTAACCCTCAGTGTCACAGTGTCACGAGCAGATGAGAAACTTTTCCTACTTCTTACATCAACACTTCCAGACAACGTTGAACACTGATGTTGTGCTCGGAGCGCCTGCAGTGAGCGTCTCCCTTCTGTGGCCCATCCCGCCCTCCTCAGCCCTCGGCCCTCGGCCCACTCGCTTCGCTCGTCGTCGCTCGTGGCAGTATCGTGCGTCATTATCCATGCATTATGTCCAGTCTACATGTCGACCGGGCGACAATGTCGTGACTCCGAGTCCCGTAGGTCCTGTATTGAGGTTATACTAGTGCGTCCATGGCGCTGTCCATTCTATCCTCTCTCTATCTGGCGCGCCGGTTGCGCTCGTCCCACTTCGCTGAGCTGGCTCTGCTCATCCGCTTCCGCTTCGCCAATCGGTTGACAGATGCGCCGCACTCGAGCGGGTCGCTCCTATTCTCTCTGCTCACCGCCCGCTGAGCTCGCTACGCTCCCTGCTCGCCGCTCGCTTCGCTCGCTCATGCGGTGACGGGAAAGTGGTAAGTCACGTCGCTCGCCTCCGTCTCGGCGTCAATGTCATCGAGCCTCCTATCGTTCACTTCCGCCTCCGCCTTCTCCGCCTTCTTCGGCGAGCCCAGAGCCTTGGTAGCAGCGAGACTTTCCTTCCTCGGCGGCGGCTGAGACTCGACATAATGCGCCATTTGCCTGCCCCGGATCGCGAAACCGCACTTTTCGTAGAACGGCACCATGCGTTCCTGGCAGTCCAAGATCACCTTGTACGCGCCCAGATTCGCTGCCATCTCCCTCAGGCCGCGGACTAGGATCTGCCCCAGCCCGCGACCTTGCAGACGCTCGCTGACGATGATGTCCTCGATATGCCCGCTGAGGCCGCCGCCGTGGCTGAACTTGCGCTCGAGCAGGAGCGTCCCGGACAGGACGAGCTCATCTGTCGCGCGCTCGACGAGCACGAGGATGTAGTAGATCCCGCTCGCCTTGAGGCCGTTGAAAAGGTTGGCGTACGTCGAGGGCGCGAGGGCGGGGGACTGCGAGAGCGTCGACAGCAGGCTGAAATGCGCGCGGAGGAAGTCATCGCTCGCCAGCGGACGCAGGTGGTACTCTTTCGGAATGGCGGATTGCATGCTCTGCGGGATCAGGGCGGGGTCGAAGAGCAGGCTCAGCGACTGGTCCGGCGTCAGCTTGTCGACGGGCGGCTCGCTGTCGTCGCTCAGGTCGTCGCGCGGCGTGACGAGGACGAGCTTGGTGCGCGAAGTGCCTGGGCCCGTGTTGCGCTCCTTGGGCGCCTCCTCCTCGCTCTCCTCTTCCTGCTCCTCGTACGCGCCATAGTCGTACTCGCCAGAGTGGTACGAGAGCGGCGTCGTCGCCGGGCCAAAGATCAGGTCGCAGTGCGTAATCATGTCCTCTAGCACGCTGTCGCGGTGCGTCTGCATCTGGATGAGCGCCTCGCCGTTCTCGGGCGTCTTCTCGGGACCAAAGAGCACACTGTTGAACACGAGGGCGAGGTTGCGTGCATCCATCTTGTTCTCCTCGGCGTGGTCGGCCACGCGGGCGAGGTGCTCGATGATGGCGCGCAGCGTCGTCTGGTGGATCGGCGGCAGCCTTCGGAGCCGCGAGCGAATGACGCTAAACTTGTTGTCGAGGTACGAGTCGCGGTCGGCCGTCATCTTGACGCGCTCGGCCAGCGGGAGCGGGAATAACGGATCAGGTAACTCGCGCAGGTACTGCTTGAGCACGCCCGCGATGCTGTGCACGTCGTATGTCGGCTTGAACTGGAAGTGCGCCTCGGTGCGCTCAATCTCCTGCACCATGTCGCGCACCGTGGCTACGCGGCCAGAGATACGGTAGATGCCCTCCGTCTCGAGACCAAAGGCGTCGATTCTAGCGATGCACTTTTCGACAATGAGAGGCGGTCGGCCGTGGTCGCCGCCCTCGCCGCGCGCAAAGTCGTAGTCGGTCAGCGAGACGCCAAAGATCAGACTTTGGCACGGTCCGACGTGGTAGTTTTCGTACACGACCGGCTTGTTCTTGACGATCGGCGGAAGGCGCGAGCGGAACTGCATGCCGTCGTGCTCGAGGTTGATGTGCTTGATGGCGTTGCCAACGACCTCGGTCGCCTGCGCGAGCGTCACTGCAGTCGCGTGCGCGTGCGTGACATAGTGAGCGAGCGCAGCGCGCAGTTTCATGTTGAGCTCCTCGTTAAGGTCCGTCAGGCTCTGGATCGCAGACGTCTGGAGCTTCTCTCGTCGCAGTCGCAGCGTCTCCGTGTGGAACACACCCTTGCGGTACGCCTTGTCTGCCTCCTCCGCCTCGCGGCGCGCCTTGACGCTCTTCATCGCGCTAACGGGGTGTGCGCGCACGCTTCCTCTCCGCGGGATATTGGACTCGGGTGGAGAGACGGCAACCTCGGGCCCGCTCTTCTCGGGGGCGCCGTCCCGGTCGCCCGCCATGCGGTCCATCAGCGACCTGAAGCCCTTCTTTCCGTGCGCCGCAATGTCGTTCATGATCTCCTTTGAGCGCGCATCGACGTCGCGCAGCGTCAGACCCGACGCTGAGCCCGAACGCGAGCGCCCGCTCTGCTGGACACCCGAGAAGTGAATCGGGGTCTTGCGATCGGGGATCGTCGTTGCCGGCGAAAGAGCTGAGGGGTGGTAACCCTGCTGCTGGGGCGCGAGGTGCATCGACGGGTTGGTGGTGTGATAAGACGGCGTTGTGGAGTGATAAGACGGCGGGGGATGGCTAGACTGTGACGTCGGCGAGTTCGGGCTCGGGAAGTTGAGATCGTCCGAATCGAGCGACCCGCTCGACCGCCGGCTGCGGCTGATGCTCGGCGCGCGGATCGAGTGCCCGTCCCGAATCGAAGCGGCAGCCGACATGTATGGGTGCGGCTGCTTCTCGGGCAATGCTGGGTTTGTCTCGCTGAGGAGCTGCTGTTGCTTCGCGACTGCGGCTTCCTGCTTCCGAATTTCCTCCAGCGTCTGTTCCTTGCTCCGGTACGTCTTCTCGAGCTTCGGGACCTTGTTGAAGACGTACGATTCGTATTGCTCTGTCGCCTCCTTGAGCCCTTCACGGATACGGTTTCGGATCCGCGTTTGCGTGTCACGGATCCCCGTCAGCGGCGCGACCACCGTAGTCTGCAGTGCGTGGACGAACGCCTCCCGTGAGGCAATCTCGCGCTCCGTATAGTCGCGCACTTCGAACCATGCTTTCCGTGTCGTTGACGCGAACCGTCTGTTCCCGATGCTGGTGTCAGTTGCATGGTCCAACGTTGGGTGACGCGTTCAGCGTGCCTGGAGCGACGGCCGTTGCCGGCCGTCACGTCGGACAAGCAGCTGTGCAAGTCCAGCTGCGAGATAACGCGCGCAGCGCTGTCACTCACTCATCGACCTGCGAGTCTGCTCCAACCTGCTTCGCATGGAGCTTGTTCAGCGCCTCGACGTAGCTCTGCTCAATCTTGATGCGCTCGTTGAAGTAGCTAATGTACGCCTCGTCCTCGGCGAGTTTGCGCTGGGTTGGTCAGTCATGTGCTCTGTCAGGAGAATGTAGGGAAGGGGCGATGCTGCATGCCGCCGAGTCGTGGGTCGCTTGGTGCTCGGTGGGTCGTCGTCTGGCATGAGAGAATCAGGTGCGCTGAACCTTGACTGCGGTGGAGTCGTCGACGGGCGAGCAAGCGAGCCAACGGTATGCGCTGCGCTCTTGCTGTCGCGTATCTAAACATAGACAGTCCGACCGCACGCAACTGTCTAAGCAGTCTAGGCTTCGCTCGAAAACGCCAAGATGCGCAGTCGGCGCACTGTGTCGCTGGAATAGGACACAGGATATGCTGCGCGACAGACGAGGTGGAAGCAAGGGGTGCGAGCTGAGTCTTGGCGTGTAGGCGAGCCGGTTTGCCGTGAGCGTGAGAGTAAGGTTGAGCTTGTGTAGGCGGGAGAGGGATGGTTTGGGGTTGGCCGATGTCGAGGTTTGATGATGCTGTTGGCGGGTCGAAGTTGCTCCCCCACACACAGGCGGGTGACGTCGAAGCAAGCCACCCCCCGTCGATTGTGTTGAGTGATGCCGAAGTCGAGAGCCGGGCGACGAGCGCGTGCGAGCAAAGGGAGAAGACCACAGAGGGGGACAAGCGACTCACCTTGAACTCCTTGAGGATGTCGGCATCCTGGTCAGCGCCTTTGCGCGGCTGCGCCAGTCCCGGTTCATAAGCGTACGCCATAGCCTATGCCTATGTCGGGAGCGGGCGTGCGAGCGAGCGTGCGATTCCGACGAGCGTGCTCGCAACTTGGTCGTTGGCGGTTGGCCGTGTGGTATGGGCGGAAGAGAAGATGGGGCGGATTCGAGTTTGTGAGAAAGTGCCGGGAAGCAGTGCACGCCACCGGACACTTGGTAGGGTTGCGAGGTTGGGAGCTTTGGTTTCGGGTATGCCGTCGGCTCTTGCTGTGGGTGTCGGACGATACGACGAGGAGTGCGTGCGTGTCGTTGCTGAGAAGAAGAAAGGACAAAGAGCAAAAGATGCGGATCTGGTCAATCGAGGAACCAAGTAGTCGCGCTCGGCGGTCGGTGCTGAATTGAATGTTGATGTTTGCGGGTGTGTGTAAGGACGAGTATTGGTGGATGGTTGAATCCTGGTAAGGACGTAAGTACGCGACGTGACCCTGCCGCTTAGCAGTCAGGACAGCCAGAGTGCACTAACTGGAATCGGTGGCGCGCTGTGCACTTTCATGCACTTGCTTGTCCGTGATCCGTCAGGTTGTTGCTGTGCAATCGCGGAGCAAGCGTGAGCGGCGTGTAGCAGATGTGTGAACGACAGAGAGGACGATACATGCTAGCATGCTAGTCGATAGCGGTAACGCGTACGTACGCACGACCCGCACGACCCGATTCCCAGCCTGCGTAGCAGCGCGACACACTGATGGCCGGTCCGGTCGTGCAGTAGCGGTTGCATCACCGTTCCTCGCTGCCCTCTCCAGGCTGGGCTGTGCCGGTCTGCGGACAGCATAACGGTTCTATCTGGCTCGTTTGGCCTGTCGTGCTGGCAGGGCCGCGCGGCACACATGCTGCACGAGCGGACAAGAAAGGAACCCTACAGCTTGAGCGGGGCTCTCCCACCGCACGTAGTGCACCTTTGCTCACAATCAAATCAACCTTGGCATTCGTTCCAGGCACGCATAATGCGAGTCTCACGTCTCATGTTGCATCACCCGGACACATGCTTCCGCTGTTGCGCTGCCCCACCCGCAACCCGCATTCACTGCCCCGCATCCTGCGGCTGGCTCTCCACCGACTCGGTTCATTGCACGGGACCGCCCCTCGCCCGACTCCCTCCACTCGCTCCCACGCCCCAACCTTGCAATGTTACAGACGAAAACGACATGCATGGGACCGACTGGGACTCTCAGTTGCGACTTTCTATATGAACAGGTACGTACTATTGTACTGGCGTGGCTGACTAACTATCTCAGAGTCTACTACGTTTCCATTTGCGCAGACCAAAACCAAACTAGTGAGTGAGACGGAGTGAGGTGATAAGAGTATGAGGTGGGGAGGAGAGGGGAGGCACGCAGGGTGGGGAAGAGACCCCAGGCACCTATCTGACGGGGTGTGGGTTGAGACACAGAAGCAGGCGAGCTTTCAAGCGTATGCAGGAGGAAGGGGAAGGGGAGGAAGAGGTTGGGTATCGTAGAAGCGGTTTAATATGCAAACACAGGGATGTCGGTCGGACCGTTGAGAACAAGCAGGCGTGGGCATCGTTTTCCTCCTTTCCCCCCTCATCTTCTCTCCCTCTAGGCGTGTGTGAGGTATAGTGGACAAGGAGCCTTACGCCTTGGAGGCGGCGGCCGCCTTGGCGTTGCGGGCGTGCTCCTCGCGGACGGGGGCAAAGTAGGGGTGCTGCTGGGCCTCCTGGGCGGTGAGTCGCTCCTGGTGGTCGTAGCGAAGGAGCTTGTCGAGGAAGTCGATGGCCTCGTTGGAAATGTAGCGCTGGTTCTCCGACGTGATGAACTTGCTCCAGGGTTTACGCTGGTAGCGGCCGAGGACCTCGTCGAACTGGGAATCTAAGTCAATGTCGTAGCGCTCGAGGTAGTTGAAGAGCTCGTCCGTTCCGAGGACCTTGGTGATCTTGACGAGCTGGTCGATGTTGTCGTGTCCGTGGAAGAACGGCTCCTTGCGGAAGATCATCGACGCGAACATGCACCCCAAGCTCCACATGTCGAGCGAGTAGTCGTACTCCTGGAAGTCGACGAGCAGCTCCGGTCCCTTGAAATATCTTGAAGCGACACGAACATTGTACTCGGTTCCAGGGTGGTAGAACTCGGCGAGTCCCCAGTCGATCAGGCGCAGCTGCCGCCGCTCGTGGTCGATCATGACGTTGTGCGGCTTGACGTCGCGGTGCATGATGCCCTTCGAGTGGCAGAAGTCGAGCGCCTTGAGCAGCTCAAAGATGTAATACCTCACGTCGTAGTCGGTAAACTTGGGGTACAGCGTCTTAAACTCGGTGTTGTTGACGTACTCGGAGACGATTGACGGCGTCTTGGACTGCGAGTCGCGCACAACGTCGAGGAGGCCGATAATGTTCGGTCCACCGGCCAGGTTCTGCAGGATCTTGATCTCACGCTTGATCTTCTTCTTCTTCACCGGCTTCAGGACCTTGACGATGCACTTCTGGTTCGTGGGGAGGTGGACAGACTCAAACACCTCGGAGTACTTTCCTCGGCCGACCTTGCGGACAATCTCGTAGTTGTCCTGGTTGCCCCAAGTGACGATGAGGTTGTCTGCGATGTTAGGTATTGCCCCTGTGTGTAGTGCGTTTGGTGCGAGCACGACGTACCATAGTCCCACCATGACCTTCCCAACTTCTCGTTGACGTCAGGGTACACGCGAGCCTGAGGAAGTCAGCCGACTGCCGTGGTGTGCATGCAAGGTTATGGTCGTGCGGGTCGACAGCATAAGCGTGGGGATGGACATGGTCGAGGGAGCGGGTGATGATCATGCCGAGTAGCGTCATCAATCGTTGGGTGGCCCCCGGAATGCGTCGTCCCCGCTAAATGATAAAGAGGATCCTACTCATAACTCCTGTGACCCTTGGCGGAGCGGGACGGACAACTCACGATACTCCTGGACCCCGACATGGCTAACAGTTGTTCGTCGATGGACGGAATGACGGTTGCTGGGTAGTGTCGGCGCGTCGTTCTCTGGGTCGCTCGCTGGTGCAGTCGACTCGCCGAACGGTATGGTCTAGTTGATCGATGCGAGTGTCGTCGAGACAGCCCTGCACTACCGCTGAGTGAGCGCTGCGGCCAAGCAGCCTGGGTGGCCGGTGGCTCACCACGCGCGTTTTCGAGCTAACGCCGACTCATGTGGCACTCGGACCAGTCCACACTCAAATGGTGACTCGCGACCGCGACGCGGATCGATTCCTCCTCTGTGACGTTCATTCATCTGTTTGATACGCACCGATCAGTCAGTTCACTGGACGCACATGCACCGCCAGCACTAGCAGATGAGCGTGAGTCACATAATAGTCCATTTTATAAAACCAGTAATACAAGGGTGAAAATGATATGGCGGCGGCAGTGTTCGTTTTCCTTTTCAAATGTCGTGAGGGATAAGGGAGGTTGATTATGCGTGGTATGTTCGGGTCGCTCACTTGGTGGGCTCTTCAGAGCGGGCGGGCTGCTGCGTGGAACCAGCAGCTCCAGGAGGCAGCTCGGCCTCGGTCGTGGTCGAGGTCGAGTAGGTGGACTGGCGGAGTGGGGACGACTCGGTTCCGGTCCCGGATATGGCCGAGTAGCGCTGCGGCGGGCTGCGGGGCGTCTCAGCCTCGCTAGTAGACGGTGCGTTGGTAGAGCTTGTCTCCGGGTCCGGGTTACGCGCCCGCAGCACAGCGTCGTAGCTGGGAGGCGGGAGGGCTTGCAGCTGGTCGGGCACAGGTCCAGCGTCAATGTACTCGGACAGTGCGTAGGAGCTGCCAGGCGACCTGGCACCGGCTCTGCCGGCGTTGCTGTCGTTCCTGCCCTTGCGGCGCTCGTTGTACGCCAACTGCTGCTTCTCGGTCATGAAGCGGTTGTTCGAGCTGCTGGACGTGATCATGCTGTCGCGCGGGTTCGTTGACGAGGCGGGGAACGGGTCGACCTGCGGGTAGGGGTAATCTGTCGACTCGGAGAACATCGACTGCCGGTTCGTTCCGTCGAACGAGTCAAAGCCGCTCGAGATACGACTGTGCCTGTTCCTGGAACCCGGGCTGCCGGTAGCACCAAGCAGGCTCTCCATCTGTGCGCTCTGGCGGCCCTGTTCGGTCATCGGGTCCGGCTCGTCGTCGACATCGTGCAGGTCGACTGCGCCTCCCGTGCGCTGATTTTTGCGCTTGCGGCGGAAGTAGAGGAAGGCAGCGAGGAAGCCGAGCGCCAGAGCCGCGACTGATCCAATGACAGCGCCGACGATTGCCCCAGTGCTCGTGCCGCCGCCGCCACCGCCGCCCGATGGGGACGAGGAGGAGCTAGGGGTGGGCGACGTCGAGCCCGTCGAACTGAGGAGGAGCTGGGTCGTCGTGAGACTGCCAGACTTCATGCAGTCCTGCTGCAGGCTGTCGGCGACAGTGTAGAGCGAGGTGCTGCCGCCGATGCCGAACTTGCCAGCGTCCGTCATGAAGAGCATCATCTTCGTTCCGCCCGGCACCTTGATCTGCCAATCGACTCCCTTGTCTCCGTCCGTGTTGTCAGGAACTGGAATCTCCCAGGCAACACCTCCCGGGATCATGCCAAAGGCACCCACGGGGAACGTCGGCAGCTGCGTCTTGTTCTCCATGTTCCACTTCAAGGAGACCGTGTCACACTGCGCCGGCTTGTCCATGGACACGCCCGTCTTGCCCGGCTCGGCCATGTAGAACGCAAAGTCCAGCGCGAAGTCCTTGCCTAGTCTGACAGGTCAGTTCATCGCTTGTTCGAGATATTGCGAGCTACTCACTCTCCCAGACAGCTCTTGTCGTCACTCTTTCCGATTTCTGCTTGGTCAGCGACAACTGCACAGCACTATCCAGGCTATAGACGCACTCTGCACTGGTCGGACGTTCGCGCCCTTGAATCCGGTGGCGTCATAGAGGGCGAAGACAAACTCGGCGTCTCCTGGCTGGCTGAGCTTGAACGTGTGCTTGTACGGCGGGCTTCCTTGCGGGTCGGGGATTGACATGTTGAACATGTGCTGGCCTTCGATGTATCCCACATTCTTCTGATCAGCATGCCGCTCAGCATTGGGTCACTTACCGAAGGGATGCCGACGAGACGGAAAGGAGCCTTGCCGCCGTCCCTGTTACCGTCAGCTAACACGTACGTTGGTCAGCGATGCGGGACGCACCAGGTCAAGGTAAAGTCTTGGCATTGTGCTGGCTGAGAGGTGGTGAAGTTGAATGCTGATTGGGCTGACGCGCCAGAGACCGTCAGCAGATTGACGAGGAGCGTCAGCATGGCTGGCCGACTTGTCGTGCGGAAGTGTCTGTACAGTCGGTAAATGCTGAGGGTGTGATGAGGAGAGATGGGAGGTGACGCGGGAAGAATCAAGAGAGTGAGGTACGAGTGCCCGGCGGCGTAGCTGGCGTCACTGGCGTCGCTGGCGCTGGCGAAGAAGAGAGGCGAGAAGAGGGTGGCCCGAGCTGGTCTGGTCGAAGCTGGCCGGGTGTGTGCGGGCTTTTGGCAGGAGCTGTGCTGGTGCTCGAGATTGGAACAGAGTCAAAGAGATAGAGTAAGGAGAAATCAGAAAACGAGGGTGTGGGTGGGCGCCGAGAAGCAAAGGCGAAAGAGCAAAAGCAACCGAACGAAGCGGTGGGTCGAGGTTGGGTAGGCTGGATAGGTGGATAGGCTTGGGTAAGGCTAGGATAGCTTGGGATGGGGTAGTGCGACGAGAGATACGCTGCCGAAACGGCTGCTCTGATCCGGTGCGCGCGTGCAATGCAATGCAAAGGCGAGGCAGGGTCGAAGCGGCGTAGTCAGCGGCGCTCCTCTCTCTCTGGGTGGCGCCCCTCCGCCTTCTCCTCGATCCTCGATCCTCGCGATCCGACGGACACTACCCCCCGTCATCGCGAGTTGTCAAGCCAGTTGGTCCGTCGACAACAATAGCGCCATAGTTGCTCCACCAATACATGCCTCCGTCCACACTGCGCACCAGTCCAACCTCTTAAGCAGGCAAGAACACTCACTTGAGTCGTCGAAAGAATTTTGCATGCATGCGTTAGCGAAAACGAAACTCTAAGTCGTCGTGGCTTGGCGGTAGGTCGCGTCGTGATTGTGTGGTCGCAGCAGCGTCATGCAGGTTAAGCTCTGGTCCTGGCGAATGTGCACCGCCACGGGCCCTGACTGGCACTCTCAGCTCTCTGTCCGCTCAGCACCTCCACCCAGCCCTTGCCCCGTACCCTATGCAGGCCCTTATCAACGCGTACTTCCACAATATCCAGCACCGCCGACGGCGTGCACTAGACATTTCATGTGGCCCGCACCCACTGAGGGGCGGAAGCTGTGTCCCACCTTCTCTATGCTCTCAACTGTCAACTGTAGATCTCTTCTACGTCTTCTGCGCAACATTACATGAACGATAAACGCTCGATGATAGAAGCCAGGCCAGGCCCACGGCAAACGCGCAGCTTGACATTGAGTTTGAGGCCAGGGACCATGCTCGTTTCAGGGTGAGGGGCGGCCTGTCACAGGATCCTCAGGCCCAAGCCCCCCTGACATCATCGACGCAATCGCGTTTCATCTGACGGTCCACCTGCTGCGTGCGATACGTGCGGCGTGCGGTGCGTCCAGTGTGCCCAGTATAGCTCAGCCTCCCTCATGACCTTCTCTGCACGGATATCTCATCCTTCCGAACGAACAACTTCGATATAACAACCCCGACCTGCGATAACAACGGCTGTCTGTAGAAGCGGAGAAGGGGCAAAAGGAACAGTCACACATATTGTGATAACGCCGTCACTTGGTCACCTCACGCTAGCTAACGCTATTCGCTAGCGCTGTCAGATCCCCACGCACATGCCCAGAGTGCCCCACACCACCATCGCTAGCGTCATGACCATCACCCCTCGGTCAGAGATGCTGGGCTCGCCGGTCTCGACCGCGCACGGTTTCGCTGCGACGACTGCGACAGTAGTTGGGCCCATTAGAATACTCACCTTGCACTGCAGCTATGAATTTCACAGTACGGACATGCGCACATGCACTGCACACGCATCGGAGTCTCGAATGTGTCTCTTTTACTAGAAACAATGGCAGGCGATGTACCGAGCGACGCACAGGCGTTAGGCTGGCACAGCTGTGCCATGTGCAAGCCCACCGCCGGAGCCGAAGGATGAAGGACGGCGCAAGCGACGTCCGCTGCCGCCCTCACTGAGCCACTGACCCATTGATTCATTGCCCAAGGTTGACTTGTGCGCCAGGTTGGACACCTTGGACTGCTGAGCGATCGGCTGGAAGCGGACCAGAGCTCGGCCGCCTCGGGCTGCCGCTCTGAGCCTACCTGAAGAAAGACGGTAGTCTCGACACTGAGGTCTGCTTTATAGCACGACGAGCTGACCGCTTGAGAGGCTCTGAGTTCCCCCGGTCGGTTGAGTGAACCAACGCATCGCTGATGATGAAACCACAATAGCCTTAGGAAAGGGAGGAAGCACGGTCAGGAAGCTCCGTGAGCTCGTTAACGCTACGTCAACGCGACATCTACAGTACATCCAGACTTTCATGAACAAGATTATCGCTACCAATGCAAACCATTAAAGCTATAAGACTGTCCAAGTGAGAGAGTGTAGTAGTTGAATAAGGACTAATCATCGAACAGACGGACCGTTCGCCACGAGCCTACTCGGGTCGAGAAGGAAGAGGCCTGGTGGGAGGCTGAGCATGAGCGTCCGGCAGAGTCTCCAAGGAGGGTGAGGTCGAGCCGGGCACATCTGCGGGAGGGCGCGAATCGCCCTGGTTGATGAGAGCGGTGCAGCTACTTTCACGACCATCACCACCGCCACCGCCGCGGCCGCCTCGTTCCTCGCGATCTTCACGGGGCTGGCTAGCGGTGCTCGACCCGCTGATACTCATCGCCGTTGCAGTGAGAATGGCCGACTTTGCCTCCATCAGTGCCGAGTTCCGAGTCGTCCGCGTTGTCTCAGCGTCGGGCGGCTGCGTGACCCAGAGGACGTGGTTGTAGCTCGGCGGAGCGGGGCCGTTGATGCGCATCGGAGCGTCGGCGTCGATCTCCTGCTGCGGTTCCGGAGCTCGAGCCGCAGGAGAGTGGTGCGGAGGCACTGCTGAGGTTGCGGCGTTGCCCACGGTCTTCATCTTGTGCAGGAAGGGAAGGACGTGGTGGTGCTCGTGTGACGCGGACTGCCACTCGTCGTGAAGGTTGATCTCACCGGGTCGCACGGCCAATGCACGCCTCTTGCGGATGAGCAGCCACGCAACGGCAGCGGCCATGAGAACAAGCGTGGCGGCGCCAATGGCAGTGCCGATGACAGCGCCTTGTGACAGCCCGCTTCTAGGCTCGCTCTGTGCAGTGCGCTGGTGGCTGATCTCCTTGGCACGGGTGGAGAGACAGCTCTGGTTATTGGACGCCATGACGGTGCGCGGGCCCTCGAAGCCGGCATACTGCCTCCCCGCCACAGTGACGAGGAACCGGTTGCCAACGGGTAGCGCGAGGTCCCACTCGAGCTTGCCCGACTTGCCGTCGAGCACCCAGCGCCACGCCTTTTGGTACTCGCTGCCGGCGGAGATGATGTAGAGAGACGAGGGGATGCTGATGTCGCGCCAGAAGATGTTCAGCGTGTTGCACTCTGAGCTCTCGCCTTGCACGTCGATCGTGCCTTCCAGGTCGGCGGTGGGCTTGGGACAGGCACTGTTTGAGGCAGCGGAGGGAGGGGCGGGCTGGATTTCTAACAGTCAGCAACACACGGAAAGGTGACTCACGCTTGGCTCCGACTGCTCGACCCCAACCGCTGCTGTCGGACAGGATGAACGAGACCGCATCTGGCGCATTGCCAGGGACAGGGAAGGCGAACTTGTCCGGACCGGCTGGGGGAATGGTCAGGTTGAGGATGGGCTGCGGACGAATCTTGGCAGAGCTCGCATCGCTCCTAGAGTAGCTCCACTGCCGTCAGCTTGCATTGCTACTCAGCTCACGGGAAGGAGGTCGATCGAAACGGGTGGCTTCGCACCGGGTCTGAAGTCAGCTCTCAAACGCTTTCCGGCAAGCTCACAAAGTCAGAACAACCATACTGCAGGGAACTGCCTCACTGACGTTGTACTGGATGCTTGGGGTCTCCAGACTTTCGAACATGTTCACGAAGAGATGGTGCTGCTGCGAAGAATAGAGGACCGGAAGGGTGGGCTCTCAGTTGTTAAAAGTTGGAGAGCGAGTTGCCCTGCTATCACAACAGACGAAAGTGACGGTGGCTCGAGCGAGGGCGGGTGAGTCGCGTCTTGAACATGCCAAGTAGCACCATGCGTAAACTCACCACATTGTGACGCTTGTCCTCGCTCGGACGCCTTCCATGCTCGTAGGTAAGGTGAGGAAGAAGCATGTGTTGAAGGGTGAGTGACCGTCTGTGCCCTGAAGATCCCATGTTCCCGCCATTATGCTTCCTCGATGGCCAGACCGTCCGTCGCTACGATCACTACCTCCACCACAGCGATCAATGCTATCCGAGCGAGCAATCTGGATCGGTCGGGAGCCCAAAAATGTTAGCAAACATCCAGTGCAGCCCTCTCGGCCTCCACGAATACGTGGATGATGCCCATGCATTGTAAAGCTTTTCAGCTTTTGCCGGCCGAGGTTCTCATTCTAGGTCCTTTGCGGTGAGTTGCACACAGCCTCGTATCGCGGAGGGGCACCGGGGTCGTACAGCGGCAGCGTCTCCTCCTGTTCTTCAGGGCGAAACACGACCCAAGACGCAAGGTATGGTGGGGGCAAGTGCGCGGCGCGCACGGGCGGTGACGCAAGCGGCGATCGAGGAAGGCGAGAGACCCATTCAGTATCGCGACGACGGCGGCGCTCCGTGCCCCTCCAGTCGCGGGCGCAGCTGACGCAGCATCCGATGAGAACGAAGATGAGGGCGACGGACACTGGTGTCAGCTCCGCCGGGTAGTGTCGACACACGCAGGATGCCCATGCACAGACCGATCTTAGTCGTGTTGGACATGGTCTTGGGAGGTCATGCTGTTGTGAAGTGGGAGGTGGGTAAGTGCAGAAAGCTGAGTGTCAAGGCGAGATCTGCAGGAATAACTCTGGGCGCACTGGTCGAGATGCGAGGCGGTTGAGCGGCTGTGTGAGTCACATGTGAGCGTGTGGTGCACGCCACCTCCGATCGTGTCTCAATCCCACCAGTGACAAGCGTGCTCTTGGCGGCCTCGGCGAGCAGAGTATCTCTGTTGGATCTGCCGTTGTTAAGCCATGCAGAACCTCTGCTCCGCGTAATGACAAGAGAGCAGCACAGTCCCATCACCACCATCAGCCTCTTGGAATCAGGCGCCGATCACGTGGGGACCCACCTCCACCTCCACTCTGTTCCTCTAGCCTGTTCACATCGAGGAGCCTGCTTCCCCTCGCTTCACCTCTTGGCTTCACACCACGACGACCAAGCGTGGGATCGCAATCACTGATCTCTGCCATCACCTATCGCTTTTCATCCATTGCTCACATCTGTTGCGACCACCGTTTGCTATTGTGGTTCAGCGTGACCCATTCTTTGCCAACGTCCCATTATGTCCCGCCGACTGACGCGATCCTCGATTTCCCACTCCGGTCTCACTCGTTTCCTCGACGTAGATGAACCGGATGACGACGAGGAGTGGGTTACGGGCGACGTCTCCCTCATCTCAGCCGACAATGTTCGATTCCGCGTGGCTGGTCTGACATTGGCATGGTCGAGCCCCGTTTTCGCAGACCTCTTGTCTCTACCTGGCAATCAAGCAGAGAAGGTCATCCCCCTCACAGACAACGCCATCGAATCGGCCGATGTCATCAGGATCTATCTTGATCTTGTGTCGTTGAACTTTGGGCGCCTCGGCATCTTCTACAAATCGTACACTCGTTGGGCGGCTCTGCTCGCCAACCTGACGTTCTTCCTGGACAAGTATCAGTCTGAGCGAGGACTGAAGCTACTCCGGTCCTTCGGCTCGGAGGCAGTCACTTTGCAACGCTTCTCAAGAATGGGTGATATCATCTTTGCTTCGCGTGTTAACGACCTCGCTCTCTGCTTCCGCATCCTTTCGTCGGGCAACAAAAAGAGCAAGCCGGCCCAGAATCGGAGACCTCTGGGAACAATGGATGGTAGCTGGCAATTCTCCCTTGCGCTTCAGTCCTACGAGGCAGCCTCCTCGATCCCGTTCCCATTCCAGTGGGCAATCGCACGTGCAGCCGAAGTCGAAGACCGGGAAACAACACCGCGGATCTTCGCGCACAGATTTGTGGAGATCATGATGACTATTTACGAGCAAGGTAGGAGAAGGCAGTTTGTGAAGCTGACTCCAGGCGCGATGGACCTTTCTGGGCACCCGGCGTTTCCCCCTCTTCTCCAGACACCAAACCTTGATGGCTACACGAAGCCAACCTGAGCCACCGTGTGCTCACGTCACTCTTTTCACCGGCATATCAGCACAACATCCTCGGGGAGCTTTGAGCGATTTGGCACCATAACAGGGCGACTCCCTGCTGGTGTCTTCTGCCCTCTGCCCTTGTCCATACTTCTCGAGTGCTGGTTATAGGTTCCCGCCTGGGTGCTGCTTCTCGCTGCATCGAGAAGCAGCAGAATGCTGCGCAGCGGACGCACCATGAAAGGCTGTTCTGCCGAACGCGCCAGGTTGTATTGCCATTGCCTTGGAAGTGTTTGAGCGGAGCCTTTCGTCTGCGCGCAGAACGGCACGGGATGTCGGAGGCTTGACCGCACGTGATCCCCCCGGCAGCTGAATCAGTTCTACGAGTCGATGCATATTCTATTAGCAGCTTTGGACTTATCCTATGAACGATTTCCTTGGGGTATCAGCAGGATGTTCGAGGGCGGCCTAGACTTCTGGGAACTCACTCTTTGGAGGCCGCTCTGTCGAGGTAGTAATAAAACGTTCTGGCAACGGGATCCTCATCTTCATCAACCTCGAATGATTGCTTGGTCTTGGTCAGGGCGTACAGGTAACGTGGCCCTGCCCGCTCCCAGACAAACGCACCAATGTCACCGAGCTTCAACCCTTCGCCCTCGCTGGAGAAATCGACCATGGCCAAACTTGCCGCACATAGGTCGTCGTCAGCCGCGATTGCACCAAGGGCAAAGCCATCCAGCGGTGAGATGGCCTCAAAGCTGACGAACTTGAGAACTTCCCCGCAGAAGCTGCGCAGCGTCGGAGTGCAGTCGTACTTGTGAAGGAAGGAGATGAGGTCAAGGAAGATGTCCAGCGTCTGACCCGGGATGAGTTTGCAGACTGTCTTCCAGAGTTCGTCGTCTTCTTTGCGTGGGACGAGCCTAGAGTGCACCACCAGGGAGAGGAACTGCTCTAGAACTTCTTTCGTCTCGATCGACTCGTCCGTGAAGGTGATCTCTAGCGGACCACCGGCTGGTGCGTCTCGAAGAACTGCACTTCGTCGTCAGCTCAGCTTACTCTTGGTACGGCAGCTCACCTGGCATGAAACAGCGAGTACGAAGGTGCCTTGAAACGCCACCCGTCGCTCGAGATGAGAGTGAAGTCACCACTTTGCCAGTCAGGATGATCCTGGATCTCGATACTTTCCTCGGGAGGTGGTGAGGAGGCCATGTCAACCGAAGGAGGGGCCATGTTGATGGTTGATGATGGACAGACGTCATCTGTCATGCGCTGGCGACGAAGGCGGAGTGTGCGAACGGTGGAGGATCTGCACTCTCGCCCCCTTGGATCGACACGCACTCGTGTGTGTCGAGTGATCGCGAGTGAGGGGCGCCCAGCGTTTCACCTGCACAACGGCCAGTGAAGACCCCAGTATCCCACAACATGTTGCCAACGCACCATCACTCGCCTTTCGCATTCCATCGTCGGCCATGAACAATCAGCAATCGGGTCATCACGGTGGGCTTTGTCAACATGAGGACTGGCTTGATGGCGACTTCACCCTGATCTCGAGCGACGGATGGATCTTCAGCGTTTCATCGCAACTGCTGTTCAAGGCCAGGTGAGCTCCACGGCTTCCCAAGCCCAATGAATGAGAACATAGCTGTGGGCACGTTGTTCCAGCCGACTAACACACAGTGAGGTTCTCGCGGACGCACCGGTGACTGGGTCGATGGAATTCCAGTTCCCGGACGCCGACATTGAGCGAAAGGCCGTCTTGGAGCAGTTTCTCAGCCTTGCTTCATGCTGTACATTGGACACCGGCAAGCTTCACCTGATCGATGGCAAGTGCGGCCCATGGGCTATGGATGTGTTCGACCACCTGCACACGTTTCTGCACAAGTACGACTGCAGTGCGGTGTCCGACGACTTCACAGCATCTGTCTTCAACCTTTTCCCCGATATCTTTTGGGGTTGGCAAGGATATGTCCTCGGAGCTTTCTGGGGTATCGACAAGCTCTGCGCCGCCAGTCTGAACGTGCATGCTACAGCCGATCGCTGCGGACGCAAGACTCGGTACTTGAGGATGGAGCACGTCGAACATTGCGACATGTGGCAACAGGTGCACCCGCGCTACGAGTTTGCTCTCCGCCGGGTTGAGTATGAGGTCGAACGCTGGTTCGAGATTTCGCTGCCCCCTCTCGAGGAAACATTCAGGCGCGCTTTAAGGGCACATGATGCATCGCCGATTCCGCATCACGGCCATGAACATGGCGACGTAACCCTCATTTCCAGTGATAGGTGGAAGTTCAAGGTGTACTCGCACGTGCTTCTCGCTGCAGGGTTCGTTATGGGTTATCCTGATTATACCTTCGAGGACGAAGAGATGGTGCTGAAGCCAACGCGCGACTGGCAAGACGAGATCCATTTCTCAGACTTAAGGACGGAAAGCAAAGCTGTCATTGAGCAGTTCCTGAGTTTGGCTATCAACTCCAAGCTCCTCACGCCGAATGGCCTTGGAGAATGGCATGAACACGAACCACTTCAGACTGAAGACCTCGATCTCTATTTTAACACGATTTCTTTCATGTGTAAACACAACTGTTCGACAACACTTGCGACATTCGGAGCGCAACTCATACCACTCATGTCTTATGGTGTTCTCTCGCCTCAAATCGGTTTCGGACTCGGGGTCGTCATCAATGACAGAAACCTATGCGCCACAAGCTTGACCTACTACAATCCTTCAGAGGGTCGTTTCCGCGGTCGTGAAGCCCTGCCTCATTTCCCTATCCAACGTGGTGGATCCATATTCCTAAAAGCTTTGGATCATGTCACAGCGTATGCCAATGGCCAAGGGTCATTTGACAGTATCCACGTGTTCAACAAAAAGTTGGACTGTTGCGAAGCCCTTGGCTATTGGACATCGGATAGTGACTGCGAAGACGATACCGAGGAAAGCGAAAAAGAGTACTACACGCCAGCCCCGCCGAAGCCCAAGAGGAAGAACCTGGCCAAATGCTTCCTGGCATTTGTCTATGAGGAGGAAAGTGAGTGTGCTTGACCATCAAGGAGTCCACCAACCGCATGTCATTGCTGATGTCTTCAGTGTACGAAGAACGGCGTAGAAGGGCACAGTATGAAGAGGATATGAGAATCAAATGGCACCTGCTCTCGCTGTACGGCGAATGTTGAGTTCATGACTGAATGGGAGGCGGGAAACATCTCTGGGGCTGTTTAAACTATGAATCGAATCTACATAGTGATCTCGCCGCTGTTTCGCTCCATCTCTCATTAAATCGACGAGGCGACTTACTGTACTGTAAAATGCCAAAAATTGTTATCAGCGCCACATTCGGCAGGTAGTGCTTAGTGCCCTTATGCTCATCTGCGACTACGATGTGAACTTCGATATCCTTGTGGACCGTAGCCAAGCCGAATGTAGGACAGAGTAATGTTCTGGACCGCTGTAACGTCTTTGGGAGCTGATCTGCCCCCTTCACTCATGCGCCCTAGTGCCTTCACGCACAAATCTACTCGGGATCAAAGAAAGCGGAGCGACCGTCTGACTCTCATTTTGCTCACCGACTCATCGTCACCAGTCATCTCCCAATCCTCACCCATCTGTGCTCTCAAGATGTCCGACATAGATACGCCGGTGACAGCACAATCGGACATCATTCAAGATCATCCCGACTGGCAAGACGGCGACTTCACTCTAATCTCGAGCGACGGGTGGCGATTCCGCGTCCCTTCCGAAGTCTTGTTCTCCGCTATGTAAGCTGCAGCCAGTTAAGCTTTCAGCTGACGACCAGTGAAGTGCTCTCTGACAGTCCTGCCACGGGTGTGAAGGAATTTCAGTTCCCCGATGCCGAAATCGAGTCCATGGCCGTCATCGAACAGTTCCTCTTCCTCACCACCCATGGTGCCATAGATCGCAGCATGGTGACACGGGGGTGCTGCTGGGACGAAACGACGGTGCAGACCGTTTTCACCAACCTGTTGCATTTCTTGCACAAGTACGACTGCGAGTCAACTCTCAAAGCGTTCCGCAGGGCAATAGGCAGAGGTCAACTTCGGGGTTGGGAGGCGTTCAGCATTGGCGTTCTGGCGCACGACGACGATGTGTGCGCTGCGAGTCTCAAGATACCCGCCGCCCCCCAACAGAGCGGGCGAACTGTGCTACATCTCGGACCACTTGCCGGACAGCATACGCCGCTCGGCCGGGCCGAGATACCGCTACGCCCTTGAGCGGTCCCGTGTCCCTGTCGCCCAGCGGTTTGAGGTCATGCCGATGACGCCAATCGCAGCCAAGTTTATCGCCGCGCTCGCCGAATTCGACAATCTCAAGGAGCACCCCCTTTTCTGTTATGGCGATGCCATCCTGATCTCTAGCGACAAGTGGCTGTTCAGAGCTCCCTCCTACCTGCTACAAAACGCCGGATTGCAGGCCATCTTCAAAGTGGGCTCTGGCGCACGTGGGGCGAATGCACCGCAAGCTCCCGAATTCCTCATCTTCGATGACGGCAAGACGGGGACAGCCAACATGCTCGAACACCTTCTCAACCTAGTCATGCATGGCAAACTGTTCCCGCCTCAGGGCAGGGAATGGCAGGACTGCGGTGTTCTTGGTGACGGAACAGTGAATACGTTCCGGTATATCCTCGCTCTGCTGAAGGAGCATCGCTGCCTCGGAGTCATTGAGCGTTTTGGTGAAGAGGTAATCAAGCTGATGGAGTGCGGGGTCCTAGAACCGCGCTTCGGCTTCGGACTCGGCCTGCTCACGGGGGACAAGCGTGTGTGCGCTGCCAGCGTGACCTTTTACGACCCGCAGTGCGGTCGTTTCCAAATTCACGAGGCCATTGCGGTTATCATGCGCTGGAACCCTCCTACAAGGAACGACCCATTAGTCCTAGCATTGTATCATGTCCAGGCATTCGTCAATGGGCCGGGACAGTCGTTTGAACGCTACATGTCCTGGCGAGTGGAACTAGTTCATAACCCTACGGCTGCGGTGGCGTGGTACGGGTTCGAGGCGGAACTGGAACTGGGGCGCTTCTGGGATCGCGCAGAAAGCGAGCGCGGCATTGTTGATTTGAAGCAGCTTCGGGAACAGAAAAGATCGCCGTTCAAGAGGCATCTTGCACAGTGTGCTCTATACGAGGTACGCTCGCGCTGATAAGATCGGTCGAGACTCGGGACCCTTGGCCGCTTTCTGGATCGACAAAAGTGAGATAACGCGAGTAAAAGGTGGAGCAGCCATTGAGCTCACGGAATAAGGTTTAGCCTTTCCCACCGAAGCATTCATGGGCTGCGAATTGCGGTCGCTCCATCCCTACATTCTTGACCACCTTGGCCCTTCACCTCTCACCTCCCACCTCTGGCGTCCTTCCATGCTCGATCACCTTGCCCGCTGCTCTTCTTACTAATGACCACCCCTGTTCGTTGACCAATCCAAGATGCCTGCACGTTCGCGGCGGAGTCACCCAATGCCTGTCCCTGGCTGACCGAGGACCGCAGAGTGCGCGGCATTAAAGATGATGCCGACGGTTGCTCATCACACCGGGTGATATCCCCGCTGCCGTGATCCCGGCCATGAAGCCGAAGTTCCTAGCTGCTCTAGCCCGGGCCGCCCAAGAGAAGTATTGGCAGGACGGGGTTTTGCTCCGAACGCTGGAAGCATACGATGACCTGGAAGCGAAGGGGGGAGCGCTTGCCGTGGCAGAGTATCTGCTGAAACTGGAGTCCGACCTTGAGTGAGGGCTTACAAGCCATGCGAGGAGAGACACCGAGGCCGAATAGTTCAGACGCAGAGCCTGGAAGAGTCTACGCTCTGATTTCTGTCCGGCTTCGATGCTCAAAGTAAACAGGCTCCCCAGACATGACGATAGATGAGTTGACAACTGCAGGTGGGACTGTCTGATGCGAAGAATTAAGGAAACGGAATGGGTGAAGTGAGACAATGGTACTGCAGTGCCCTCTCGCTGTCTGTCAGTACATATCATAACTTTATGATTGGTTTGCCGCTCTTGTCCAGTAGTTAAGTCAATGTCGAATGCATAGTAGAGTCACCACTATTACGCAGTCTGAGAGCGACGAAATGGAGATGTCGGGTGGCGAGTTGCCAATCACGTGACACCACAAAAGTTGACGCTCCCCTCTCAGACTGACCTCATTTCGGCGGTGAGCTTCCTACAACAGTACTCCCACCCCCACCCCACACCTCACCAGCAACAATGAGGCAGAAACGTGCCAAGGCGTACAAGCGCGTGATGGCGCTTTACGTGTCGACCTTCGGATTCCGTCTGCCGTACCAGGTTCTGCTGTCCGACGGCTTCCTGCTCGAGTCGGCCAAGCAGAAGGACATTGACACGCTCGCCGTCGTGCGCAAGGTGCTCGGTCTCTCCGGCAATGACACACGCGACACCAAGTTCATGATCACACAATGCTGCATGGAGGCGCTCTACAAGCTCGGCAAGGAGTACCAGCACGTCGTGGCGTCGAAAGTGCAACCACCGCGAGGCGATCGACCCGACGCAGTGCATCAAGGAGGTTGTTGGTGAGTCACCAGAGGCAGGAGCAGTGTTTGGCCACTGCCTACAGCTATTCATGTCCAAGAAGCCAAAGCTGACACCCACAGGTGAGACGAACAAGCACCGCTACGTGCTCTGCACTGCGTCGCAGAAGTTCCTCGGCAGCATGTCGCGCGTCCCCGGCCTCCCGATCGTGCACTACAACAGCACGGGTGTGCTCGTGCTCTCCCCGCCATCTCAGGCGACGGTCCGCGCCAAGCTCGCACAGGAGGAGGAGAAGCGCAAGGCGGGCGCGGAGCTGCTCGACGGCGTCGTGGACGGCGATAACGTGAAGGGTGCCCCTGCTGCGTCCACCACTGCCGAAGCCGCCGCGACACGGTCACGGAAGCAGGGCCCGAAGGCACCGAATCCGCTAAGCATGAAGAAGAAGAAGAGAAAGGTCGAGGTTGAGGAGCAGGCCGAGGGCGAGAAGGAGGGCGATCAGGGTGAGAACGGAGGAGAAGACGACGGAGGACGGCGGAAGAAGAAGAGGAAACGCGGACGCGGAAAGGGCGCTGTCGCTGAGGCCATCAGCGAGATTAGGGCGGAGGGAGAGGAGAAGCGGCTCAAGGCGCTTGAGGAGAGGGCTGCCCGTGATGCGCCGGCGGGCGGTGACAGCGACGACGACTCGGACTAGACTTAGACTCATGTATTATGCTTTGATCGCCCTTGCCTTAGCCTGGAAGCTGATACACTCATTCTGCGCAGAATATCGCGCATGTTCAACTCTGGTCAGTTTCTGTCCATATGCCACCTCATGGCTTGGACTCCGCAGCCTGCAGCCGCTCCGCATAGCGCGGCTAATACACAATCCATCTATAGCTAAAACTAAAGGTAACACCTGACGAGGCCCTTGCCGGCCTCCGCGCCCATGCTCTTGGTGAGGCCGTCGAGCTGGCCCTGGAGACAGAGCATCTCGAGCCTCGAGGGCTCCTTGGTTCCTCCACGGAGCTCGGACGAGATGATGGGGAGCTCGGGCTGGCCGAGCTTGCGCCTGCGGGCGTTCTCGTCCTCGCGCTCCTTGATCGAGCGCTCGTGGTTGGCCTTCTCACGGGCAATCTGGCGCTGCATGAACGAGAGGTTGTTCGCCTCGTGGTTGTGCAGCGTGACGGCGTCGAGGGTGTTGGAGAGGTACTCGGGGAGGGAGTGAGGGAGGGGGTTGACGAGGGGCTGGAACGCGGGCGGGAGCGGGACCTGCGAGCCAGAAAGCGACGGCTTCGGCTGCTCGGCCGGCGTCGTGAGAGTGGCGAGGAAGGCCTGGACGAGCGGCGTCGAGGCAACCTCGAGGGGAAGGCTCGTAAGCATCGTGGCGGCGGTGAGCTTGTTCTCCATCAGGGCGGCAGAGTCCCACTTGCCAGCCTTGGCGGCCTCGCGAGCACCGTCAGACAGCCGGAAGGCCTTGAGCGAGAGGTCGCCAGACGTGGCGGCCTTGCCAGCGTCGTGGATAAGGAGGATAGCCTTGCCGCGTCCAGCGGCCTTCTCGACAGCAACAAGCAGGTCGACGGCACCGCGGGTGACGAAGCCGCCGTTGTGCGTCGAGAGGTAAACACCGACGGGCGAGTCGGGGGTCTGAACCTCGGCGAGGTGGTTCAGAAGGCGGGTCGAGTAAGAGTTGGCTGCTATTAGCTAGAGGGCCACTGAAGTAGCTTGGTGCGGTCTTTGCCACCCAAATGATCAAAACTCACGTCCAAAGCTCGACTCGCCAGCGGGGAGGGTGAAGCTGTCCTCAACCTCCATAACACCGTCAAGGTCAAGACCGAGAAGAACACCGAGAGCGTCGGGGTGCGACGAGAGGTTCGTCGTAGGGGGCAGGTTGCGGTCCTGCTGGAAGGTGTTGGGAGGGGGAGCGGGGAGAGAGTCGGTGCTGTGCTTCATGATCTTGAGGAGGACCTGAATGTTAGCTAAACGTGATACAGGGCTAGCTGAAGCAGGAACCCGGAGACAGGACAAAACCGCGACATAATCACACATCGCGCGACAAGGCCGAATATATGACGTCCGCTCAAACGCGCTCATCCCACTTGATCAAGCGCGCATACAGCTTCTCCAATTCCATATCTCAGGCGCCAATCGCGTCCTGTCCTGTTCTTCCTTCCTGCTCGTTAAGCTCTTGCCTCAACGCACGAGAGAGTTGAGCTTGACGCTCTCGACATCCCGGGAAGCCTCAACGTCGAGGAATCCCTCCATGCGGGCCGGAACCTTGGCGGGGGCGGGGGCGGGGGCGGGCTC